CTCCGCCCCTGCTCCGCCCGCACGGGCCGCGCCTCCTCCCGGGCTGGCCACGCCGCGAGGGCTGCAGGGGCGTAGCGGGGTGCCAGGCCAGGCTCCTACCCACTGTCCCTGGGCGGGTCGAGCCCTGGAATGCGCGCTTTGCCCTGAGCCCGGGCTGCGCAGGAGAGGCCACTGGGGTTCTGCTGCCCACTGCTCCTCAGATGACCCCGGGTGTCCAGGACTGACCACTCTCCCCCCATGAGCCTTCAGTCATTCTCTGATGGACTTGGGGGAATGGGAAGCCTGATTCAGAGGCGCTGAACGCCAGGAAACCTTGGCTTTTACAAGTGTGGGGCACCCACTGTCTATTCCCTATTCCTGTACAGGCCGGTGTGATGGCTGCAGGGCGCACGAAGCCACACCCGAGCACAGGCCAGCACCGCAGGCCACATATAGAGGGGAGTAGCATGTGGTCAAGGCCATAAACCCTAGAGCTGGGATGGCCTCCTGCCTGGGCCACTGCTTTGCCTTTTCAGTGCCTCAGTTTCCCTATCTTTAAAGTGGGGCTATCACACCAGTCATCAGATATTATGTTATCACATGTTCCCTTCTCTGCCAGCAGGTGGGTTTTTGGACAGGTAAACGTTTTCACATCTTAGAAACCTTTACTGACCCCCCCTACCCCTTTTCAAAGAGGGCGCAGAGCCAGTCATGCCTACGTCCTGTGTCACATCCTGGACTCCTGCCTTGTGTTTTGACTGTGGACTTTCTTAGGAATCCTGGGGGCTCTGTGACTAAGAGAGGTCCCCGAGGCAGTCTGGGGTTCTTAACAAGGTTTCCTGGAGGAGATGATACCTTAAAGAACCAGAAGGCAGAGGGGAGGGCCTTGGAAGTGCACACAGAGCAGACTGTGTGGCCAAAAGCTTGGGGCTACAAGGAGGCAGGTACAGAGTCCACTGGGGTGAGGAAGCATGGGGACACATGGGTGGGGGAGACAAAGTCTTTACTGCTCCCTCACAGAATGTGGGGCCTCCACCACTGGCTCTCTAAAATTTTATGCTAGCCACTGGGGGAGACACAAGGCATCCTGGTATTGGCTCAAGTGGCATGAAGAAAGGACTTTGATTCTGGAGGTTTGAGATCTTTCCCTGAGGGCAGGCCCCAGGGAATTGGGAACACAGTCACCAGGCCTCAGAGGTACTAGAGAGCATGGGTGAGGAGGAAGGAGGTTGTCCCAGAGAAGCAGGGACCAGAGTGGTGGGGGTACTGTAAAGGAGTAGGAGAGAACTGGGCCAGGGCCTGGGTGCTTAACTGTGGCCAGGTGTCTGTGCAGGGATGGGAAGCCCTCAAGCAGGTGCAGTTAAAAGTCTCTTTGGGGCTTTGGGGCTGGAGAGATGACTCCATGCTTAAGAACACTGGCTGCTCTTCCAGAGGCCCCAAGTTTGGTTCCCAGTACTCATGTTTGGTGGCTCACAACCACCTATAACCCCAGCTCCAGGGGATCCAATGCCTCTGGCATCCTTGGGCACCTGAATGCATATATGCATAATTAAAAACAAATCTTAAGAGTAGGTGAAATGGCTCAGTGGGGGAAGGAGCCTGATGCCAGATCTGACAACCTTAATGCCATACACAGGACCCACAAGATGGAAGGAGAGAACCAACTACCACAAGTTGTCCACTAACCTCCACCCATGCACCATGGCATGTGTACACACATGCACACACACACGTACACACATATACACACATACCTACAAAAGTAAATAAATAGAATAATATTTTAAAATAAATAAATAAAGGTAAACTTACAAAAAAAAAAAATCCCTCTCAGCTGGGTGTGGTAATGATGCCTCCCAGCACTCCGGAGGCAGAGGCAGGTGGATCTCTGTAAGTTCCAGGCTAGTCAGGACTACATGATGAGACCCTGTCTCAAAAAAAAAAAAAGAGAGAGAGAGAGAGAGAGAGGGAGAGAGGAGAGAGAGAGAGAGAGAGAGAGAGAGAGAGAGAGAGAGATATGGGGGGGGGGAGAGAGGGGTGAGGGGAGAAAAGAGAGGGGGGGTGTTCCAAAAGGGGGTGGGTGTTGTGTCCGAGGGGGGCTGGAGAGATGGCTTAGTGGTTAAAAGAATAGGCTGGTTTTCCAAAGGACTTGGGTTTGGTTCCCAGCACCCACATAGCAGCTAACAACCATCTGTGATGTACAGTTCCAGGGGATCTGACACCCTATTCTGGCCTCTGCGGGCATCGCACATGGTGCACTTATACACATATAGGCAAAACACTCATACATATAAAATAAAAATAAATTAAAAAACTAAAAAAAAAATTCTCAGCTTTTATTGAGCACCTAATGCATACCATACATAATCAGATTTCATCTTCATGTGAGCCCAATAAGGACAATACTGTCATCATGTCTACTTTGTAGGGAGGGGAAGTGACTTGTCCAGGACCCCCTGCTTTGTCAAGACAGTCAGTCTCCATTTGCCAAGGGCACCGACTGTCCCAGAGTGATTATCAATAGTGCTTGTTTTTACTCTTAAAGGTGTTGAGGTTAGATAGTAGTGATGTGTCCCTCTAGTTGAGGGTTCCTGGAGCAGCTCAGAAAGGAAGCTGCTTGGTTCACTGTCAAAGGCCTAGAGCTCAACACCTGGCCCAAGGCTGGTAGTTAGCAAAATATAGGCTTCTCTCTAAGGTGGATCTAGTTTAGTGCTATGTGTGGTGGCACATGCCTTTAATCCCAGCACTTTGGAGGCAGAGGCAGATGAATCTCTCTGAGATTGAGGCCAGTCTGGTCTACATAGTGAGTTTCAGGACAGCTGGAGCTAAAGGGAGACTATCTTAAAAAAAAAAAAAAAAAAAAAAAAAAAAAAGGATCTAGGTCCAAAGCAGGCATTTTTTACCTGTGGCTGTGTTGCAAGCCACAGAGTGGTGGCCAAAAGCCAGCTTGATGGAAGTGGTTATCTTAAGGCCCCTCTGGCTCCATCCTGTATCCTGGCTTGGTGGTTCAGAATCTCAAAACGTCTACATTCCAGGTCCTCTGTCTCTCCCAGCTGGCTGTGTGGCAATCTTCAAGGCAGGCATTCTTGCCCTATTGTACAGATGGGTGAACTGAGGGTGAGAGGAGCTGTCTCACATTTGTAGCTTGTATCCAGTCTGCCTCCATGTAGGCTGCACCCCCTGTACCTGGTTCCACTCCTGATTTAAGGATCTGACTCAATTTGTCCCTCTGGAAAATGGGAAGAAAAGAGACATTGCAGGACCCAGAAGGATTCAAGGGTGGGTAGCTCTCTTTCTCACGCCTTTCTCCTTCCCTGAATCCCTGCAGTCCCCTGTCAGCCTCCAAGACTGTGCCAGGAGTGCAGGGGTTAACCCCGCCAGAGCCCTAATTGCCATGCAGGATGCAGAACAAATGGCTTCCAGCTGGGGAAAGGGAGAGGCGCTGAGGCTGACGTGGGTTGCCCCGAGTTCCCCTGTCCTGAAGGCACCAGGCCCTAGGGTTCAACTGCCCCTTACTTTACCCCCTACAGACCAGGATGGGGACCTGGGAGGAGGCAGTTCTGGGCCAGCAGCTCTACAGAGCTGAGGAGGAGGAGCAGGACACAGGCTGAACCAGGATACTTCCCTTCCCACTTGGGGACCCAGAAATGCAGGAGGAGGGCAGCCTTCTAGAGTCTGGTGAGCAGTGAGCCTTGGGCCGAGTGAGCTGGCTTGGCCATGGTTTTTAGCCCTTTCTGGGAGCATGCTTCTTTGCACCCCAAAGTCTGGCTGGACTGTTGGTCAGTGTATGCCTCTTCTCATTGGGTCAGTCTTCCCAGTCCCCTGTCTCTTGAGTGTCAGGGCTCCATCTACCCACAGTCGCCCAGCTGCCCACGCAGCCCTCCCGCCCACCTCCCCACCCCACCCATCCATGTACCTACCCTCCCCCTCCCGTGTGGATTCGCAACCTACATTCATCCAGTCACCCAACCACTTACCTACCCCTTCACTGCCCACTAGTCACCCATTCATCCTCTACCCACCCATCTTTGGACACTTCTGCTCTTAGGCATCTACTCTCTCTTCTCTCCAGCATCCTTGAGCACTGCCCACACCTGTACCCATGTGCATACTCTCCTGTGCATCCTCATGTTCAACCATGCATTTTATTTTCCATCCAGGGAGGCCCTCACACAGAATCACTCCTGCTTCTGCTGGCGACCACGTCTCTGAGCATGCCCCCCTTCTCCCACTGATGGGCCACACGTAGATCCCCCAGAGGCCCTCCCTGTCCCTTTGCCTGGACAGAACCTCATGAGGGAAGCATCATGCGCCCAGGGTCTACTTCAGAAACACTGTCTAGACTCCCACAAGGGCTCAGATACACATGGGCACCAGAGGGGGAGGGGTTGGCATTGGGGTGCCCAAGAGGTTTGTGCTGCGAGGTGTCCTCACACCTTTGTGAGACCCAAGATACGATTCTAAGTCAAGCTTAAGCAAGTTCAAAATCCCAGCATTGGCTGCCCCTGGCAGAGTGACCTTTGTCTGGGCCTCAGCTGGACGTTCTGTGACAAGTCGTGGTCAGGGAAGGGCAGCTGCTGTGGTTACTGTTAACCGTTTTCCCTTTCCCGGCGGTCAATTTGGATTTATAAGCTCTAAGGGAGGAGCCACTTCGGGCAGCCCTAGGCTGGGACCTTATGAGGGGCTGTGGGAGGAGGGGAGCCAGTGCCTGCTCTCCAGAGGAGTGGGGAAGACAAACTAAAATCACAGTGGACGGGGCCCACGAGGTAGAACACCGGCATGGAGCCTTCCTGGAGAAGATCTGATCTGGGTCTTGTGTCTTGGGGGAAGAAGGAGCTGGAGAAAAAGCAAAGAGGTGGAGGTGGGCTTGGGTGCACCTGAGGGGAGTTTGTGACCTTGTGGGGTGGA